AATATTATAAGTAGCTTTTTCTGTATGAATATTTGGTTTTAAGAATTGAAAAGATTGTTGATGATGAGTTTTTGTTGATATTGAAATATTATTTTAACAAAATACAAATATAAATTCGATGAAAAAAAAATAGTTGTCTATAGAATTGGAAAATGAGATTAAAATCGAAAATTTGTCGTAAATTAATTTTGTTTTTTATTTAATCTATTCAATAAACTAGCTTTCATTTGATATAAATTTGAGCTTTAGATAATTTGTAACTGTAGCTGTACTTCTGCAAATTTTTCTTTCCAATAGTAATAGTACATCCTTTCAAAATGTATATATCTTAAAATAATTAGTCTGTTAATTTATCTTATAGAAGCATTATCTGAACTTGCTACATTAAAATTTTATGCATTATTATTATCATCACAAAAACAAAATTGACGTAAGGAAGAAGTAGATATGTTTTTATCGGTATCCGATACGAATACAACTGAATTATTTACGGATCAATAATATTAATAATATTGATGTTGAAGTATTTTTAAAAGAGATTCTAATTGAAATGATCAGTAATTTCCATCATTCTCTTCGTTTTTTTATGTTTTCGTATTCCAACAGTAGATGATCAAATAGTAGAAAAATTAGCTATGAAAAACTAATTGTTGATTATACAACTATTAGATGTCTCTTTATTCGACTGTTCTGTACGCGATCTTCAATCCGAATGAGTGTACTAACACATCAAAACATGAAGGAAGAAAAGAAGAGAAGAGAATGCAAAAGATGAATAGAGCGAAAGCAGACATGAATAACTAAAGTGATGTGAAGACATGTCAACAACGTGTCTGTAACAACAACTAAACGTATTTGTGATAATATCTATATATAATGGAGATGATTATTATGGACTTGGTATTTTTCTTTTTTGTAAAACTAATGAATAAATAAAAGAAAATTTTTAACCTAATGAAATTTGGATAAATAAAAATTTGTTTTATAACTTCAAATGATATTATAGACTCTTATGATAAATATCTAGAAGATCAAACGACACAAACTGATGAAATAATTTCTCTAAAATTTGCAGAGTCATTTGATTGTATATAAGATTAAATGATCATTATACATTGCTTATCCCTTTTCTATCTATAGTTGTCTCCATTTGATGTTGATCTCGATAATCTGTTCTTCTTTTTTTCTTTTTTATCTAAATAACATATTAAAGTGTATTCGAAGTGAAGAATCCATTTCCTAAACAAATTCATTTATTTTAGATTGGACAATAAGTATGAATGAAGTTCAACGAAAATTGAGTTTTGATGGTTTATTTGAAGAAAAAACAATCAAATTTCTCAGTAAATTATTTATCTAATGAATATAAAATTATTTCTATTTTTCATTTTAATAGATGAATTCCATCAATCTATGACTTGTTTTGAAAATCTATCTAATGAATTATTATGCGAAATATTTGATTATCTTGATGGATTTCAATTATTTCAAACATTTTCAAATCTTAATTCTCGATTTGAACAACTTATTCATTCTTCATGTGTATCAATTAAAACTCGTTTTTGTATATATCAAAGTGATAAAGTGGTGAACACGTTTGAACAATTTATATTTTCCAATCGACATCAAATATTTTCCATATATTTAAATTTTATCGGGAGGACAGAATTTCGGCCCGGAACTTCGACCCGGTCCCAAAGTCCGGCGGCGTTTCGGCCCGGGCCGAAATATCACCGGAAATCCGGTCCAGGACGAAATTCATCTCACCGCTATTCCTAAAAAGAGTCCAACTTCAATGAATAGTTAGCGCATTTCGTAGTGCTGAACAGTACGACATAGTGCTAAGTAGTACGTCGTAGCGCTGAGCAGAACGACGTAGTGCTGAGTAGTACGTCGTACACTCAAAAGAAACAAGGGATTCTCGGAAACCGGCGGAAAAAGGGTTTCGAGGGCTCGGAAACCCATTTTTATGCTCTCGGAAATCCTTAAAAGGTTTCCTATAGTGACACACTCGGAAACCTTTTGCCACAGGTTTCCAAGAATACCTTGTTTTTTAGAGTGTACGACGCGCTACTCAGCACTCCGTCGTACTGCTCAGCACTACGACATACTGCTCAGCACTACGACGTACTGCTCAGCACTACGACGTACTGCTCAGCACTACGTCGTACTGCTCAGCACTACGTCATACTGTTCAGAACTACGACGTACTGCTCAGCACTACGAAGTGTACCAACTAGTTATAGAAATATGGCTTCTTTTAAGGGATTGACAAGGTGAATTTGGGCCTGGGCCGAAAGTCATGAAGGACTTTCGGCCCAGGCCGAAAAATCACCGGACAGTCGGACCGGGCCGAAAATTCCTTGGGCCGAAATTCATGTAAACCGACTTGAATCACTATTGTTTAAAGTCATTCAATCCAATACACTGATGCCGATGCTAAACAATTTATCTTCTTTACCGAATCTTTTTTCATTAACAATCGAAACATACAGTGTTAAAGAACAAATTAATGATATCTATCGATTGATATTTATCTTACCTAAATTGAAATATTATCGAATTTCTTCTTTTAATTATTATCGATCAATTATACTTCCAATAGCTATAAATAATCAATTCAGTCCTATTGAACATCTTGTTATTAATCATTATTGTTCTTTGAACGAACTTCAATCTTTAATTTCTTATACACCACAACTTCGTCGTTTAACTCTTCATAAAACAGAAACAAATGATTTAAATGTGACGATATTATCATCAACAATTACATTAGCTAATCTACAATCGATTTCTTTGGATTTATGCCAAACAACATTTAATGAACTGGAATTATTCATTACAAAAATATTTTCAAATTTAAAAAGTTTATCTATTATTGGATCACGAGATATCACTTTTCTTAATGCTTATCGATGGAAAAAATTAATTTTAAATCATTTTTCTCAATTAGAAAAATTCTATTTAACCTACTATGATGGTATTAATAAT